CAACTAGTTCAAATGGTCCTAATGTCTTAAAATCAACCATTATACAAAAAAAAAGATAATTATTCAACCATATTAACCAAAAAGCCCCTGACTGGATTACTAGTTTGTGTTGAAATGGCTGATCTTGATGAAGTGGTAGTTAGGAACATTAAAATTTGTCTCAGGCATCATACTCTAGAATTAGAATTTTGTTTTCAGAATTAGAATATCCTTTATTGTTACATCTACTCAAGTACAGAAGTACAGGAGTTCAGCGAAACATTTACAATGTCGCCCCACACAACGCCATTTTAGGTATAAAGTGCTTAGGTACAGAACTTAGATTCAAAATAGAGAAATAAAGGGGAAAGAACGGAAAAAAATCTGATATTACTTACAGCTATGAAAAACTGAGGAATAAAGTTGAAGGTCTTTCTATAAAGGGCCTGCAGCAGATCAGCGCAGGGGGCTTCCGCACATGGTCTGACGGGGCTTGTAAGCTGCTGACCACCCGCATCGGTCCCCAGTGCAACATCCGCTCTGCTCCAATCCTCCAGCCCACTGACCGTCCCTGCTCTGCTCCGAGCCTCCAGCCCACTGACCGTCCCTGCTCTGCTCCGAGCCTCCAGCCCATTGACCGTCCCTGCTCTGCTCCAATCCTCCAGCCCACTGACCGTCCCTGCTCTGCTCCAATTCTCCAGGCCACTAACTGCCCCCGCTCCACTCCGAGCCTCTAGCCCGATGGCCATCCCTGCTCCGCTCCATGGCTCCTACCCAATCCGGGCTACATGTTCAGGTTACACTTAAGGAAGTGAAGACTGGCTCAGGATCCTGCTTCTGATCTCTAACTGGGGCAAGGCAGTTACAAGGTCACGATTAATTCTGCTTAGTCTCCACGGCACAAACTCTCACAGTGTAGGTGGCAATGGTCATGTGGGTGAGATGCCTAGAGCTGGTGTGTTGCCTCCCATCAAGTTCAGGCAAAGCGAGAGAGCATTAACAACTGGTTGGAAAAAATATGCATATGCTCACTGTGGCTTTCCAACAGCTTCACAGACCAAATATGCATGAAGGGCTTCCTGAGATACTGACTTTGTAGAAAGGCTACTCAGGATTTGTCCAATGCTCACAGATTCAATTTCAGGAAAGATGAGAATACTGGATGCTTTGCATCTAAAAATCCCAAAGAAAGACATCTTGTTTGTGGCACTGAAACAAACATTTAGTGATCAATGCACTCTAATTACCAAGTAGATCCATCTTTTGTGTTTCTGTTGCACAGACACAGTATTTCTAACTACCATTTTACGTTCTTATTCTTGCCTAAAAGAATAACACATTTTGACATTTCCCAAGAGATTACAATCTTGAGATTCTTTCCAGCGCTGAATTTGACAGAGATTCAAAGATATATTTCCATCAACGTCTGAACAAATTCTTGCACAGTACACCAACAGGACTAACAATGTACATGGGTCAGCACACACTTTGATGTAATTTGACAGTAAATGCACCCTGCACAATGCATTATATTCCTTAATCTGGTATTGTGAGTGCACTGCATCATAAGATATGAAAACTGAAGCTGTGCAATCAATTCAAGAGCCACCATCAGAAAAATTTGATTTTTCTAAGGAAGCTCTACTCCTTTGATTGAATAAATTCTTAAAGCAAGCCCAAAACATCACATTAGTCTACTTACAATTTATTTTGGGCACTGGTGCAGGTTACTTCTGAGTGACAAGAACAAATGGGCAGGGTGATAGAAATCACCCTTTGTTGCACACTTCCCCATTCTCTGCTCTGTAAGTGTCATATCTATTTTCCCACTCGTTGGTGCTCGTAAATTTTGAGTGTGCACCTAATTACTTGACTACCAAACATGGTGGCATATTCATGCAGCTATAATGTTTTTCTCAATGATGCAGAACATAGGATTGTTGGAACACCACATAACTTCAGGGAAAAACAGCCAACTTCAAAATGCATGCTCTCAAAGTGATTTTCATTGGCTACAGGCTGGGATTATTTCAAAGTCTGAATGGAATAAGCAAATGCAGATTCTTACAAATATGTGCCAAATGACAGCATGTGCATGCTAACTATGTAACAGTATATTCTAAATTGTGTATAGTTGGGATGACGTATCTATATTTAATACTGTGAGAAAGACTGGAAGATGCTGAACCATTTGGACACTTTCCAATTAAATAGGGTTTTTAACCAAGGAATTAAGTCAATAGTTTAATGTGGACTGTAAGCTTTCTGCTGATTACAGAATGTCAAATAATTTTAGGGAGATAAAAATGGGGTTTATAATCTTTAATTGCTGGAAACCCTGGTTTTTGAAGAGACTATGGGGTCTTGCGCTGAAGGTTGATCTTACAACTCTTTCTGGTCTTGATGTCTACTTCAAAAACCAAGGCAGTCAGAAGGAAGACTTTCAAGGCTTTCAATAAAAACTAAGAATCGCTCAGTCTCTCATGGTGAAGTAATTGCAAAACTGACAAAGTTTCCATATGTCTGTATTTTGTCTACTTTGCAAACTGTGACCACTCTCCCAAAGACTGGGAACCAGCTCGATTTCCAGCCAAACCAAAGCTTACTTGAAAATCCTTCCACCGGTCTGCATTTGTCAGCAACTTGATTTTGTTAACAAGAAACTCAGTTCACTGTAGGAATTCATCAAATTCCATTCTTAATTTTCAGACCATTGGCCGATAAAGGCTCATTTCAAAATATCATTTTTGGAGAACTTTTCTGTATTTTGTGTCGTTCATCTATTAATTTGAGACATTTAAGCAACTCTTGGATAGGCACATGGATGACAGTAAAATATAGGGTATGCAGGGTAGTAGGATAATGGGATGGCACAACATCGTGGCCGAAGGACCTGTACTGTGCTATACTGTTCTATGTTCTATCTCTTTGTGTTGGGATTAAATGGAAATATAGTTCTAATTTTGAATTATATCTCAGTTGTTAACTAGTTTCGCTACTGGTTTTATGGGTTTTTTTTGAGTTTATTCAAGAAACCTGGTGAAAGTCTCTTATATTGTGGACTGTAATATCAGAGGGAAACAACTGGTCATCTTGACAATTGAATGAAAACAGTGACACTAATGATGAGACTTGATCCTCCTGCCCTGTTATCACTCTGTTAGCATGTACCTCAGACTGCTGGAGTGCAATGCCTGTCTGTTTCTTGTCTGTGCAGAAAAGGGTCATGAGAAGCTTGGGATGACCTGACTTTTACATCTCAACAACTTTCAGTGCTCATGTGAAATTCAAATTAATCGATTTTGGAATTTGCCAATCATAATTTGATATCAAGAATGCAAATCTTTAAATATAAAGCATCGCTTTGCAGCTCAGTCATAAATAGCTCATCACAATTCAGCATACGCCACAAGAGGTTGTTGGAGACATTTGCAGAATTTTTAGGAAACCCAGTGCATGTTTGATTGATGTGTTCCCTTTAATGCAGGGAATTGGGGTTAATTCTACTTACATAAAACATGGAGTGTCATCATCATCACCTTTGTCATAATTCAGGCAGCAAGGTGTCAAATAATTCATGGCTCACTGCATTAATGGATGTTGAGTTTATTAACTTGAATTGCTGATGTATTATTATTTTCACGTGTGTTGTAATCTTCTATTACAATCCTGCTTTTCAAGTGCACACTGATTGCGGTTGATTTTTTTTTACATAGAATGTCCTTTACTATGCATCAGTCGATAAATTGAATTCAAAGGGAAAAGGATGCTTAGGTGGTCGGTACAAGGTTGTAACACAAAGCAGGGATGTGACTAATTCATACTGTAAATATCAAAGTGCATCCAGCCTCTCTTATTAAAGTAATCTAATCGGTGCTGCAGCCTTGAACTTCATGTGTAATGATTGTCACTCAAAGTAAGAAAGTCTAATTCTACTCTATTTGGCCAATTTACGAGACTTTCAACTCACCTCTAATCCCAACTCATATTGTGTTGGTTTCCTTGCAGCATCCCATTGTAAACCAGTTAGCTGTAACAACAGTAGCCTGTTGTAAGCCAACCGCGACCACTATACAATAGCAAGTTTTCGAGAACTCTTTGTTGATTTTACTTTAACTTGCATTTCTCCTAAAGGAGGAACTGATTCTATTTTAGCCTTTTTGAAAGTTTTCATAATTCAGACTCACCTTTTTGCAAGCCCTGGTATTATTTCTTGGTTCAATATGCCTGCTGTTGTCATACTTTATCCTCAAGTTTTGCTTTTTGGACTTCCTTTCTCAGTGTTTGATGGAAGTACATTGCACCAATTTTATCTTGCTCATTTGTTCACTAAATGCAGCTTTGTTGCAAAGGAATAACAACTAATGTCCTCCCGTCTGTCCAGCAGTCTCTCATTTTTGCTCCTTTGAAAAGATATATCTGGAATGCGTTACAGAGATAGTAGGAACCGCCGATGCTGGAGAATCTGAGATAACAAGGTGTAGAGCTGGATGAACACAGCAGGCCAAGCAGCATCAGAGGAGCAGGAAAGCTGACGTTTCGGGTCGAGACCTTTCTTCTGAAGAAGGGTCTCGACCAGAAACGTCAGCTTTCCTGCTCCTCTGATGCTGCTTAG